ATATTATATGTAAAGATTATTTAAAATAATAGATAATGTAGATTTTTCCAAAACAATTTTTTTACCAAATTCAAAATTTACAGTAAATATAATAATCAATTTTAAATTTTTTCAATTGAATGTTATATTATTTAAGCGTCTATGCTATAAAATAGGTTTTCGATGGAGTATGGATCGTATATGGACGATAGTTGGAGTCGACAGCTCTCCTAGGTTTCTGAGGCTGTCCCTTGGTATGTGCGTCCTGAACAGGTTAGAATTGGTCTTGACAAAGGGTTGCGATACCGCAAGGGTGAGCTAACTACAAAAACTCGTCCTCGGTTCGGATACAATTCGATTTGAAAAGATTCTGATATTGATCTTTCTTATGATAATCTCTTGCAATTGGGTCGTCGTGCTTACGGTTTGGAGTTATTTTACAAAGACTTGCCATGATAAGGAAGAAGGAAGGAACAAATACACTTGAAGAGCGTAATATATTATCTTATTTGTATTAATTAACATATTATATTATTAGAAAATTTTATTTGAAGTATAAAATATTTATAAAACACAATTTTTTCAAGGTAGTCTTTTTGATATTTTACATGTTTATAAACTAATTTGTTTCAGATTTAATTTATTTATCAACCAACAAATAATTACCTGTTATCAATTAATTTGTCGATAATAGGCTAAGCAAGCTAACCCTCCGATCAACCAATTACTTGTTACCAAAGATGGTTTAGGGGCCGTTTACCAAATGCTTACCTGAGTAAGCGCTTACCAAGTCACATTACCTAAGCGGATGACTATGACAAAGACCAAGAATCTTACTTGGTAAGAGCGAAAACAAGGACCGAGAATCTTACTTGGTAAGTAATGACAATGATTCTTACCAAGGTTAACGCTTACCGGGTAAATTATTACATAAAATATTGTTTTGGTGAACTCAAATCTTACCCGTAAGTAAACGATAATATTAAATAGGAAAAATTGCACCAAAATGGAACCAATTTTCACCTAATTCCTATTTTGCAGAACCAACTTTCAAAATCGTCATTTTGGGGAACCAACTTGGACCTGATTCCTATTTTGGGGAACCAACTTTCAAAATCGTCATTTTGGGGAACCAACTTGCACCTTATTCCTATTTTGGAGAACCAACTTACACCTGATTCCTATTTTGGGGAACCAACTTGCACCTGATTCCTATTTTGGGGAACCAACTTTCAAAATCGTCATTTTGGGGAACCAACTTGCACCTGATTCCTATTTTGGGGAATCAACTTTCAAAGTCGTCATTTTGGGAAACCAATTTGCACCTGATTTCTATTTTAAAGAACCAACTTGCAAAATAATTATAGATAAATAACTAAAATTCGTTTTTTTCCAAAAATTAATGCAATAAAATTTATTTTTCATTTCAAATCTCGTTTTTATTTAATTCAGATATCAAATTGAACATTTAAAAAAAATCCAAATTATCACAGTAAAAATTATTTTTTACTAATGCAAAAAAATCAATTTAATAGACAAAAATTAATTGATGCAATTGGTTAGATATAAAAATCTTGAATATGAGATTTAATATTTATTTTTTATTGCATCAATTAATTTTTTTTCTATTAAATTGATTTTTTTGCATTAGTAAAAAAAATTTATTATGGTAATTTAGATTTTTTTTAAAAAAATGTTCAATTTGATATCTGAATTAAAAGAAAACGAAATTTGAAATGAAAAATAAATTTTATTGCATTAATTTTTGGAAAAAATGAATTTTAGTTATTTTTATATAATTATTTTGCAAGTTGGTTCCCAAAATAGGAATCAGATACGAATTGGTTCTCCAAAATAACGATTTTGAAAATTAGTTCCCAAAATAATAATTAGGTGAAAGTTTGTTTCATTTTAATACAAATTTTTCTATTAAATATTATCGATAAATGATTATCGGGTAAGTATTCAAGCATAACCACTCAAACTCTAACCGTGCATATTTACCTCACCTTCCCAAAAATTAACATAATTACCCACTTTCACTCTCTCTTTCTTCATGTCAGAATCAAAATGTGAACGACTAATCTGAGAACCATAATAGCCAGACCCCAGTTAACAAACTTGTTTCATTTGGATAAACTTGATACATTTTTGTTAAAATTTGGGACCAACTAAGTTTAATCGGCCATGGCAGCTGCTCTTGAATGCTGGTCTAGCCGTACGAGCACCGATGAGGACATGGTGGAGCAAGGGCTCATGCGAACCGGCGACAGATCGGAATCTTCAGCAGCCGCCGCCGTTGATACGTCTTCATCTTCTTCCTCCCCTTCGGCCTCCGCTGGTGGTTCTCTTAAAGACAGTTCCATGATGCAGAAGAAGTTTCAGAAACTGAGTCGAAATGTCTCGGAAGCCATTGCCTCTCTCAAGAACTCCTTGAATCTTGACCCGGCTCGAGACTCGAATCCGACCCGGATCGATACTTGCCGGAAACATGTCTGGGGAAGCGTCGTTCGGAATTTGACTCAGCTTTATCCCGGAAGTCAACTCCCGGAGAAGCTCGTATCCAATATTCGAAAGCATTATGATTCTTTACCTCTCAGGTCTTTGCTCTATCAACATATATTTAACCTTAGGGTTTATAAATTGGGATTTTGGTTAAATTCCCATGAAACCCGTGATTTTTTTACCTTTTAAACTTTCATTTTTGCTAAATCTGATTAGTAAATGAAAAAAGAAAAAACTATAAATTTGTTCATCTCCAATCGTTTGAAAATTAAGTGAAGTTGTAAATTGATATGGATCTCAGACGTTCCCAGCAGTTAGAAAAGTAGTTCGATCTTTCTTGGAACTTTTGGAATTTTATATGGGTTTTTGCTAAATTTATGTTGTTGATGATGTATTCGCAGTTATGCACAAGCAGGCTTCGAAATGAAGGATGTGTTTTTGCATGTTAGATTGATAGAACAAGCATCTGCGGATGACCACCCAGCTATTATGATACAAGAAGTTTCAGATGATGAAGTTCAAGGGTCTGTTTTGAAGCTCACATTTGCTTGTAATTCATCGCTTTCATGGCCAGCCATGTCAGGATCACTCGATAGTGCTTCAATTTGTTGCAAGAAGATACAGATCTTTGAGAAGAAAGGGTTCACATTGGGAGTCATTCTTCTTTTGGTACAATCAGCGCAAGAGAAACTGTTCAAATCGCAGATTGAAAATGCATTGAAATCAGCTTTGAAAAAGCCGGTTAAATCAAGTGCTATGAAGCTCCCATTTGGGCTTTGTGGTTGTCAAGAAGAGGGTACGAAAGGGAGGGAGTTTGGAGAGATTGAAGACGATTCCAATGAGCAAAGTTACAGAAATGGGATTGAAAATTTAAGTTCGAGTTCATCAAAGGTGAAACTTCAATTGCCTTTATCCAGTTCGTCGATAATAATATCAGTTGACGAATGGCAAACTGTTCAATCTGGGGCTGATGAGATTAAGAAATGGTTATTAAATCCCGATAGTTTAGAGTTCATTGATCAGATTGGAGTCAATATATTTAAAGGAACATATAAAGGTAAAAAGGTTGGGATTGAGAAGCTAAAAGGGTGTGAAAAGGGGAATTCATATGAATTCGAGATCCGAAAAGATCTTTTAGAGTTGATGAGTTGTGGGCACAAGAACATTTTGCAATTTTATGGTGTATGCATCGATGATGTTCATGGTTTATGTGTTGTGACTAAGTTGATGGAGGGTGGATCAGTTCATGATCGAATTATGCTGAAAAACAAAAAGATCCAAACAAAAGAGATGATAAGGATTGCTGCAGATGTGGCGGAAGGAATTAAGTTCATGAACGATCATGGTGTCGCTTATAGAGATCTTAATACGCAGAGGATTTTATTGGATAAAAATGGGAATGCATGCTTAGGGGATATGGGTATAGTTTCTGCTTGCAAGAGTGTTGGAGAGGCTATGGATTATGAAACTGATGGCTATCGCTGGCTTGCTCCTGAGGTTAGTTCTCTTTAACCCATTACGGTGTTAGCTCAACCTGTTTGTTTTATTGGTTCATACTCGCCATGCCAGATTTCACTTTTCCTACACATTTTATAAACCCATATAAGTAAAAATTACAGTAAAGGAGTCGGTGAATCATCTGTTAATATGGCATTGGGGTCCACAAAAAGGGCGCTTTTTTTTCACACACAATGGTGTAAAACGGTTTTTTGCTACTTGATGTGGCAATGTACTGGTCCAAAAGTCATTTATTGAAAATGCCCTTGATGAGCATGGATTTAAGAGATATGATTGTTATCAAACCAAACAAACTCTGTATATCCCACCTGCAAGTAGGGTCTGTAGGCAGACCTTTTTTCTGTCTCAAGAGACAGGTATTACCGTCTTCCACGAAGAAAACAAGGCAACAAAAGGGTACGACAGTAATACTGTCAAATGTAGACCTTAACTATCATAACCATCTCCTATAGTTGCAAAGTCGTATAATTGTTTCACGTTTAGGTCAGGTTTAAATCCAACATTATGCTCCATCTTTTTCATTCGATTAAAATTTTCATTTTTCTAGATCCCGTTTTTACAATTAGGAAACATATATCTATTTGGACCACAACTATATTGTTTGGTTTATTCATGAGGTATGGCAGTTCGTTTTCTTGTGCATTAACCAAACCAACTATGCCTTTGTGGCTGGCTTAACTGGTCAAGTTTGAGTTTGTTCTCCTATTGGTCACCAGTTTGAATCCCCCTGGGCCGGAGGTTTTTTCAGCCGATTCAGGGTCCCATGAGATTAGCTGAAGTGTGCTAAAGTTGGCATGTACACCCATGGTCATAATGAAACGACCCGCCAAGTACAAAAAGTAGAGCAACTGTTTTTCTTTGAATTCTCTTCTCCATGTATAATGAACACTTATAAACCACGGCCTATGGCGCTTAAGTTGGGTCTTATTTAATTTATTTCTGACCCATGAGGAATATTTAAAATTGGCCAACAATAGTGACCTGATACAAGCTATATATTGTCTTGTATCCTAGAGTTTTGCAACATAAGAAAAGTCCACAAAATACATAAGTGAGATAAAAGAAAAGGAAAAGTTATTAGCCCTACCAAATGAACCATGTACAACTTTATAAAACTTCGGCATCATCTGGTGAGCATGTTCCATGATTATCTTGCTCAACTTTTGGCTTTATTGAACCACTTGCATCATTTCACTTTTAAATTTTGTACCAAATCCATCATCTTATTACTATTCAAGTTCCATGAAATTAATTTCTAATAAACTTCAAGAACTATTGTCATCATGGTAGGTGGAAGTAACGGTGCTAGATTCACTTTGATTTGACACAATTCACCCGACTATACACACTACAACAAGATCGGATTTGTAGGACTCCAAAAATCTCCAAGTGTCCTAACAAACTGATTTTATAGGACAAAAAAGATATGCACCCCTGTGTAAAAGTGTTGCAATAAGTTTATAGGATATTTTAACAAGTTTTTTAAGACATTTTTAAATAAAACGCCCTATTAATTTTTTTATATGATATTATTTCAAAAATTGTCCAATAAAACACTTTAACTGACCTAAAAACTATTCAAGACGCCCAAAAACATCTTATAAACTTGTTGCAACACTTTTACATAGGATATACAATTGTTTGGATTTTATAAATGTAAGTTCTATAAAGTAGTTTATTAGATATTTATAGCGTCCTATAAACCCGATCTTGTTGTATTGAAAACTTTTGTGAGTCCCATCTTCATTTTCTTGTTTACGTGCAGATCATTGCTGGTGATCCAGAAACCGTCACAGAGACGTGGATGAGCAATGTGTTTAGTTTTGGAATGGTGGTATGGGAGATGGTGAGCGGGGAGGCAGCATATGCAGCACTCTCACCGGTTCAAGCAGCTGTTGGGATTGCTGCTTGTGGGCTCAGACCCGACGTCCCAAAAGACTGCCCTCAAAACCTCAGATCTCTAATGAACAAATGCTGGAACAATATCCCTTCAAAACGGCCTCCGTTTTCAGAGATTCTTACGTTGTTGACTCGGCCAAACAATAACAACAACAATAACAGCTATAGGTGATGGAAAAAAGTCTATGTTTAGTTAGCAAGCATAGAGAAAGGCATGGTTTCATTATGTGACATAAAGTAAGAAGTTGAAATATAAACATGTTCATATGGGTTCCTTTGATTTTCTTTTGCTCTTGGTATGATTTTTGAGATGGATGGGAGATCATTAAAAGTAGCAAAAAGGAGGTGAAAATGTTGAAGAATTGGGGCAAAATCTTGGAGTGATTCATGGGATTTTGTCTTTAGTTTGATGTTTATGTTTCTAAAGGTGGGGTGTTAGTGGGCCCATGATGTTTTTGTATCCAAAATTTGAGGTGGACAGTATGTGATTTTGTTTATGTCAATTCTCACTGTTGCTTTCAAGTCACTATTTTGTTTCACTCAACGACCACCTGAAGACCACTTGTATATATTTTTACTTATTAAAAGCAAATTATCAAATTAAAATTTAATGTGAAAAATAATACAAAATAGCAAATTGTTTTTAGAGTACATTACGATTTTATCTATATATTTGTTAATAATTTCGATTTTTACTTTTATAGTTTAAAAGTTGTGATTTTTGTCTCTATAGTTTATAATGTATTACTATTTTTATTATTATACTAATTCCTACATTTAAATATAAGATACTAAACAGTAAAGAATTGCAAACCATAGAAACTCAAACAACATAAAATTGTAAATCATAAGGACGAAAGTAAATATGAATTACAAATTATGGGGAACAAAAACCATATATTTTAAATTACATAAAAGGAATCTACAACTTTTAATAAACCATCGGGGTGAAAAACACAATCTATTCTTGTTTTTAATGCATCATAGTACTCATGCATTGTAAAAAGTTATTTCAAAATTATTTTTACTTATTTTAATTTTTAATATTGCTTCTATATTTACTAAACTTCGCAAACTTTACCATATATTTTATATTTTCACGATAGTTTATTAAATTTTGTTATTATATCCAGTATAGTTCAAAACTAATTATTACTATAATATAAAATATTAAACAATAAAATAAAGTAACAGTACATAAATATTTAATCGAATCATATTCTGAAAATATCAAAATCTTGACAAAAAAATTATTGTACTAAATTTGATGTTTTATTGTTCATAATACTAAAAAGTTGCAAAAAGTAGTAAATTAACTAGAGAGGACTAGGCGTGAAAACAGGTGTAACCGGATTTTTGATGCATTTATTGGGGGAAATTTTATGTAAATAGACATTTTATAAAATGATTTTTATTTTTAGTCATTATAGAAATCTTTTTCTCAAATAGTTAAAATTTACAAAAAAGAATTATATAGAAAAAGATTTTTTGCATAAATTTTATTTTTAGAGAAAAAAAATAAATTAAAGAAAGAGTTTAGAATATGGATTTTTTTTTTGCGTGAAGTCCCTTTTTTTTTTTTTGCAAGCTCCGCTATTTTTGCGTAAAGCTCTATTTTAAGTTATTTTTTGCTTTTTTCCTGGAAAAAAACTTCATCCGGAAAATTCTTTTTTGCATAATTTTTTTTTAAACTTTGGCTATTTTAATAAAGGGCTTTATAAAGTAGCTAAAAAAGTTAAAGTCATTTTATAAAATGACTATTTGCCTACATCTCCTATTTATTGGAGATGGTCTAATGGGTGATCTTGTAAAACTTAACTTAAGAGTAAATTACAAATTTCATTCCTATGGTTATATGAAAATTAGGGATTGGGTTACCCAAACAAAATGCTTACACGTATAGTTATTGTGATTTTATTTTTGTTACGTATTCGGTTTCTTCTGTTGGGATAAAATGTTGTATTCACGTACTTGTGTCTAAACTGTTTTATAATGCTTTGTAGTTAGTCTTACTTGCTTCGTAATGTTAGGTATAAATAGTGGTGCTTGTTAGTTTAGTAGTTAGAATCTTGTTAATCACTTGTAGACATTTTGACATATTCAAGAACACTCTGTATTGTATTGAAAAGTTCATCAAATACATTCGGCATTTCAAATCATTCTTGTGTTCTTGATTCTGATATAAATCTGCTTGTGACTTGAATTTGGGATCTACAATTGGTACCATAGAAAATCATAAAGCTCTTGGAATCATATTCTGTTTGAAAATCTTGAATTCTTGGTTCGACAGGTTCTGTTTTGATTCGAAACTGTTTGTATTTGATCAAATTGGACTCTTTTGATCTGTTTCTAGCCAAATTGCATTCATAAAAGTTGTTCTAAATACATTTTCGAGTTAATCTGTATAGATTTTATCATCAATTTCTAAGTTTTTGTGGATTTTTTAAAAAACTTTTGAATTATTCTGTCAGATCATCTATATCGCCCGTTGAAGAAATTCATTGAGCGATATCCTCAAGAACATCACTCATTGAACATTTGAATATGTATTGATCGATATATGAAGTCATCGCTCATTGAAGGTTGTATTGATCTAATTTTTGTGGAATCCGCATGAGTGTTGGAAGATATTTGAGGAAATCGGCTAAAGGTTGCACAATATTTGAATATATCGCCCAAAAGTGTTGTGTAATCCGGTCAAAGGTTGCATGATATTTGGATATATCGGTCAAGTGTTGCAAGATATTTGGTTATATCGGCCAAGTATCAAGAGATATTCATTCTTGTGATTGTTCAAGTTTGTGAAAATCGTCTAAGGTTTAATTGATATTCTTCTATATCACCCACGTGTTGTGCGATATTTGTGAGGATTCTTGAAGTTAGAAATATATCGACTGAGTGTTGAGCGATATTCTAGTATATCTTCCAAGACTCAAGAGATATCTAATGAGTTGAGAATACCACCTAAGCTTCATCCGATATTTGTGTATACCGCCCAAGTCTTATCCAATATTTGAGTATATCGCCCAAACTGTGAGTGATATCCTATAAGCGATATTCTTTAAGCGATTTTCTTTATAAAGTCATGAGGGATATTCTGTATTCATCAAGAAATTTTCTAAGTGTCAACAGTTCTTCTTGAAGATTCCAGTTTTGTTCAAGATCATTTTCGGAAACGGTCATTTCAAGTCAACTATGTTAAAATGTCTAAGGATATGTTAGGTATTGGTTCACATTCCAAGCCACCAGTTTTTGCCATTGGTGGGTACCCACAATGGAAAATTAGGATGATTCATTTTCTGGACAACAAGGATGAGAAGTTGACGCAGTCTATCAGAATGGGCCATATGTTAGTTATATTGATATTCCCGCTCAAACTACAGAGGATGGTATTTTTGTTGCTGCAATAAGACAAAAGAAAGATCCTCAATACTATAATGACACTGAGAAGGAAACAGTTCTGATAGATAAAAAGGCATTGACTTACATGCTTATGGCCATACTAAATGAGTTGTTTAACAGAGTTGATAGTCGTGGGTCAGTAAAGGAACTATGAGATGAGCTTGAGAAACAGATGTTGGGAAGTGAAAAATTAGTGCATACGAGATTGAACCACTGCATCAGTGCTTATGAAGGATTCAAGGCCAAAGAGAATGAATCCGTTACTGAGTCCTACAACAAGTTTAATATTATTCTGAATGATTTGGGAATGAATGGTCTTTAGAAGTCTGTTTCTGAACCGCCCAAGGCGTGGGCAATATACATGGTTCATGGGAATCCGCCTAAGGCATGGGTGATTTAAAAGCCAAATCTGAGTTCATCGCCCATACTTGAGTACACTGTTCAAAGAATCAATGAGCATATTTTGTGTGCTTATTTGGTTCTTTGCACAAGATCACCATGTGCTTAATGATTAACGTGTTCATTTTTATCAAAAGTATGCCCTATGAAGCATCAACAACAAGTTTGTCAACATTTGACTTTTCAAAGTCAAAGTTTGACTTTTGGTCAACCTATTTGAAACTTAATGTTAAAGCCAGATTTGAAAATATTTCAGAACTAGATGACTGGATTTGGAATTTTATTGGAATGGTCAGATTTTGAGTATTTGCAATAATTATTATGGAGATTTCTATAAGAGGCCAGACCGTTAAGTGCTTTCAATCATTTCGTTTGACCTGATCAATAAGATGTTTTGAAGGTCAACAATCAATGTTCTGGAGGTTTTGGAGTTATCAGTCATTCGTCTAACCTGATCAATTAGAAGTTTGAATGTATACAATCATTATTCTGAAGTTATGGTTGTGATTTAGAGTTTTGAGTGCCGATAATCACTCATCTAGTTGAGAATTCTGAATCTGAGTTTGATTATTCAGTCTTCTGAAAGAGTAAAAGAAATCGGCTTATCTTTCTTGGCTGACTTGCTGATCTTTAAGCTATATATTCTTAATGCTGACACTTCTCTCTGGATCTTACTGATAAAGGTGTTTGTTTTGGTTGTTCAAGCTTATATTGAAACCCCACTTTGAGCTTATCAGATCAAGTTATAGCTGAATGCTTATTCAACTCGTGGTTTATAAAAATATTATTTATTATAAGACTGATTCTGCACTTTCTCAAAACTCGTACACTATACATCCTACAGTTGGATGAAAAAATTGCTTGTGGGCCGGCGATAATTCTGAGGTTCAAGGTTTGAATTTTTGTAGTTAAAGTTGTATTTTGTGCAATCAGTGTTGAATTCACATTGGGTCGTATTTTAAAGTTCAAACTAAAGAATAAGAGCTCTATTCG